GGATTTAGAGGGAATATAAACATTCAGGTCAGAACAGGAGTCCAAGAAAAAATACAAAAGGTGCCAAGAGAAAATAAAAAATACCCTCCAAAAATGGGTTGTTTTGTTTTTCTATAGGTAATAAGTATACAGTTACCATTTATCAAAGTAAGACTTTATAACAAAATATTAAGAACTAATTCTGAGAATAAACTTAGGACAAGTTTATTCCTTCTAAATATTATAATCATGATTTTTCTGCTTTTACACAAAAGCAAAGTGAAAACCATATTCATAAAGAGCCAAACAATGATAAAGACAGTGTAACACTAGGCAGAAACAATAACAGCATAGAATATCTTTTCATAATGTGCAAATATAAACTCACTGCAAACTGAAACAAATTTTACTTCTGTAATGGAAAGCAACTTATCTGAAAAAAATATATATAATTGGTTTATTGTCTTAGGTTTTTTTGTTTTGTTTTGTTTTGTTTTGTTTTGTTTTGTTTTGTTTTTGTGGAACTGGAGATTGAACTGAACTCAGGCCCTTGCGCTTGCCAAGCAAGTGCTTATTCTACTGAGGATCCATCTCCCCGGCCCTTGTCTTAAAATTTTTGAATAAAGCTCAGTGTGATGATTTAAGCCTATAATCCCAGCACTCACTTCGGTGGCTGCTGGGACAGGAGGATCACTGCAGGTTTTAGGCCAGGCTGGGCTACGAAGGGAATCCAAGGCCAGCCAGAACTGAGCAAGATCCTGTCTCAAAAAGGCACCAAGAAAAAGTTGAATACAATAACGCTTAGAAATAATGCTCAAGTTTTATTGTTTAAAAGGCATTTTCGCTCTTTCTGTCAAGAAACCGAGATGCCAAAAGGGAAGAAGGACAAGGACAAGAAGGTGGTCCCAGCCACTGCTGTCATGAAGAAGCAGGAGGCCAAAAAGGTGGTAAATCGCCTGTTTGAGAAGAGGCCAAAGAATTTTGGCATTGGACAGGATATCCAGCCCAAGAGAGACCTCATCCGCTTTGTCAAATGGCCCCGCTACCTCTGGCTGCAGCGACAGAAGGCCATCCTGTACAAGCGGCTGAAGGTGCCCCCTGTGATTAGCCAGTTCACCCAGGCCTTGGACTGCCAAACAGCTACCCAGCTGCTTAAACTCGCCCACAAGTACAGACCAGAGACCAAGCAAGAGAAGAAGCAAAGGCTGTTGGCCCGGGCAGAGAAGAAAGCTGCTGGCAAAGGGGATGTCCCCACTAAGAGTCCACTGGTCCTCAGAGCAGGTGTCAACACTGTCACCACTCTGACAGAGAACAAGAAGGCTCAGCTTGTGGAGATTGCACATGACGTGGATCCCATCGAGCTGGTCGTGTTCCTGCCTGTCCTGTGTCGCAAGGTGGGGGTTCCTTACTGCATCATCAAGGGGAAGGCCAGACTGGGACGTCTGGTCCACAGGAAGACCTGTACCACTGTCGCCTTCACACAAGTCAACCCGGAAGACAAAGGCACTCTGCTTAAGCTGGTGGAGGTCATTGGGACCAACTACAATGACAGATAGGATGAGATCCGCCATCACTGGGGAGGCAACGTTCTGGGTCCAAAATCTGTGGCTCATATTGCCAAGCTGGAGAAAGCAAAGGCTAAAGAGCTTGCGAGGCTAGCTGAACTAAACTGGGCTAGCTGTACTCTTGAGTTTTCTGTACATAAAAACAATAAATTGTCCTTAATTCAGTGAAAAAAAGGCATTTTCATCAGCATAGCAATCATGTTCTTATAAAACCCATGGTTCTCCAAAAAGATACTGCACAGTCAAATGAAGAAAGTATTTTTAAAAATATAAGTAAGTTTCACACACCTAAGAACTTAAAATAATGAGTTCAAAGGACATTTTATCATTGTCAGTGAAGCAAATGAACAGTATTCAGGTCTATCACACTTTTATTCTCATAATACTTAGTATACACTTGCAATACCATATATTGAAAATAAAATCATAATGCTTTTAGCACTTGAAATAATTACACAGAACTTTAAAAAAGAAGTACATGGCTATTGGCATATTTTTTTCACGTATTAGGAAAATACCTGGTGGAATGCTCCAAAGGCATGGGCCAGGAATTTCTAGAATTTTTGAGATCACTACAGGGGTTTTGCAAGGTCAAATTTGCTTTCGTAATAATATTCATCTGTCATTTGACTTTTGTAAGTGTCACTCTGTCATAAGTATGTGTGATTTCCTGAGAAATGCATGGTACTGATGGCATCAGGGAACGTGGCCTTGTGAACTTGAGGGTTTTTTTAATTTTCTTACTTTTAATTGTGAATATGTTAAACATCAGAGGGAATAAACACATACAAAAGCTAATTCTCAGTAATTATTAAGAATATAAATGAATCCTGAGACCAAAACGCTGGCGACCATAGATCTAACAAAATTAGAAAAAAAAATTTCTAAACCAAGGCAGTAAAAAAATCACAACAAACCTGCAAGTATTTTTACTATAATATGAAATTTAATACTTCTGAAGATAATTTAATGGTTTTTGTTCATTTTGTGGAACTGAGAGGAATAATATGTGAAACAATCTATCAAAAGTATAAACTAAGTACTTGAGAAAGTAGTTTTGATATAGGGAAAAAATACTCCCAACCAGATAGATATTTAGGAAGAGTTTATGTTCCCTAAAATCAAAGAATGAACTTTAGGGACAATGGAAGTTAAGAGCAGAACATATTTATTGAGAGAAAGAAAGCTTCTGTCCAAGGGATATACAGAAGTGGTCCTGTCTTAGTCACTCTTCTCTCATTGCTGGGACAAATACCTGACACCTAAAATGAAAGAAGAAAAGGTTTATTTAGCTTATAGTTACTGGAGGTTTCAGTCCGTATTCAGCTGGCTCAAAGGCAGAGGGGCACATGGCAGAGAGCAGCAGTTCATGGCAGCCAAACAGCAACAACAACAAAGAGCAATGTCTACAGAAAGTCTGTCTTTCTGTCTCTTACATTACATTCAGGCTCTCTGCTGCAGGCTGAGGGAAGTACTCACACCCATAATCGCAGCAGGACTAAAACCCATAATCCCAGCCTTGGATGACACATAATCCCAGTGGATCATGAGTTAATCACAAATTCTAGATGTCCCTACCCCATGACTGCATGAGGCTTTGGGGGAACAACTAGACACAAACCATAACAGGTCCCAAGTGGGGTGCCAAGGAACCTGCCTTTTCTAGGGAATCTTATAGAGCAAAACCACAAGGTGAGGCAGGTCCAAGGTAGGAAACATGGGAATATGCAAAGTGAGCATGAAGTGAGATAAAAATATTGCTAACCAATAAAATTACAAGTATAAATGCTCAGGTAAAATTGGGATCAAAATGGGGAAGCAAGTCTCATAGCAAGCAGACATGAATACAGAAAAATGTCTCTTCCTGTGGGGGGTTGGGTTAGTGACTCTCCCTGAATTTTTGAGTCAATTGATACCTACTTAAAATACCAACCCCAGGATGCCCATCCCTAGGGAGGTATGTGGGTACATTTGTTTTGTCTTTTCTTTGGATCTGGCCCACAGTGAAAGTGCCTGTCTCTCCTACAGTTGTAAGGTTTCTTGTCTTCCATACTGGCTCCTGTGATGGCCAACCCCTGTCTGACTGCCTATAATAATATTTCCACCTAACTCCACTGCCTACAGCATGTTCAGCAAATAATATTTAAAGAAAAATATTGTCAAATTTTATAGAAAAAAGTCTAGCATTTCAACTAAAATTCTAGAAATTTTAAAGAAGTTTTAGACTGGGCTTGGTGGCATGCTCCTGTAATCCCAGCTCTTGGGAGGCTGTAAACAGGCACATCACTATGAGTCCAATCTAGCAGTGAGACCCTGAACACCCTGTAGACCCATCCCGAAAAATACAAAAAAATAAAAAATAAAGAAGTTTTAACTTGTTACTAAGTCACCTGTTTTATTAATTTTAGGCGATTTAATAAAAGGTTTTAAGTTTTCACTATGCTTTCTCCTCCTGTGATTTCTCTTTATTAACATATTTAATATGTATCAATGCAGAAAATTAAATAATATAACTGAACAAATCAAAATTGACCGCTCCCCAGAGCCCCTTCTGGCCAGAGCCCAGGCCCGGCATGTGAGTAAGACCTCCAGCCTGCTCACCTGCTCACCGGATCCCTTTACAGCAAGTGCCCAGGCCTGGCATGTGTGTGGGGCTGTCCATGCACTCACAGGAACCTCCTCCAGCAGACAGGCCTGGTGTGGAACTCTGTGGCAGAATTCCATGCAGAGAGGCTAGGGGCCAGACCCATCCCGCTAATCCAGGACCTGAACATCTTGCCAGAGGAGCACAGTGGGTTCACTTCCATATGTTGCAACAAGAAGTCAAACACAGCAGCCAGACCCAAACCAGGCACCTCTGGACAGTTTGAACTTGGTAGAGCCAGACCTGTTAAACTGAGACACTCTGCTAGACCCTGATCTATGAGAGCATCCTCTCTCCTTCTCTCTTGATCAAGAAAGGGTGCAACAGGTATCCAGGGAGAACTAGTCTGCCTGGAAGACCCCATGTACATCAAGGGGAGGTGATCAGACAGAACTTAGGGGAACTAACTTAAATACAAATTCCCAATTTAAAATCTGCTTAGCTATACAGACATGATTGCTCTCACGGTCTAAAATACAAACCCATTAGTTACAAAAGTTTGTCAACTGCTACATATCACTACCCATTATTGGTGTTCCTGTGTGGTTCCGTGAATACAAAATGGTAACTGCCTTAACCACATAATCTCTCTTGGATAAGAATATCAATAGGGGCTAAGGTAATAACTGCACCAAAGCTCTACACCAAAGGTAAGAGGACAGTGCTATACAAAACAACAAACAGAAGCAAAATGCAATCTCAGGCCCTGAGCCCACCCAGAACAAATGCAGAAAACACCAGCACAGAAGAAATTTGAAATCACACAACTGAATTCTCTGAAAAAAAGCATTGGAAGTAAAGAAACAACTGCAGAAATTTACAGAGGAAATCAGATCAGAAATAATCTCTGAAGTAACAAAAAAGAAAAAAGAAATGATAACTATAATGAAAGAATTCCTAAGTGTTTCTAAATAAGACACTGATAAAAAAA